CATGTAACCTGCAGGACCCACAAGGGCTAGGTGGCTGGTCCTTCCAAACTAAACTCCTAGTCAAGGATGTCCTTCCTGCTTGCACTTCCTTTCCTCACTTGGCCTAAAGGATGGCCTGGGGCTAGGGCAGTCCTCCTGCATTGTCATCCAGAACCCTTCCTCCATCCTAATTCTGGTTTAAGAAGGCTCATACAAGAGAAAAGTGATCCTAAGAGAAGCATCTGAGTAAGATGAGGTTTCATTGTGGCCTCTCTGCCCTGTTTCAGGTGGCTCTAAGTGACATAAAGCAAGGTCCCATGGCCAGGATGGCCTGGGGTATAGGTTGGGCACCCAGGGGTCAGGTAGAAATGGACAATGAGTAACTCTGGGTCACATTAGATGTTCGCCCGGAGCCCAGGGGTGCTGGAGAAAGAGCAGTTGGAGGCCCCACTGGCCTGTGTCACCTTCCTTCCCTGAGCCAGTCACACCGTTGTCCCCATTTCGTGGGGTGCAGCTTGAACACAGTAGCAGCATTCCAGGATACACAGAGCGCAAGATGAATTCATTAGCTATTCTTGCTTCAAGATCCCAGAACACAGATTAAAATAGACATTGATAAATTTCCTGCCTGGAGAAGAGCCATGGGTCCTGATGAGACCCCACTGCTCCCGGGAGTCAGGGCTATAGGTCCCAGGGCCACAGGCAGTGCTAGGCTATGAGGAGGCAGGTCAAGTGTCACCAGGAGCACACTGTCTGCCCTGTTCCTGGCAGCCTCCTTGTCCCCTCAGGGTTTCCATCTCCAGCCACCTCGCCTCACCCTGCTCACTTCCTGACCTATGTCTTCATGGGGTGTTTTCTTTCATCTTCTTTGTATTAAGCAATCCAGAGACTTTTTTGGCTGATTCTATTCTGTACCAGCTCAAAAACAACTTGGAAAAAATAGAGAAGTCAGATTTTCTTTTTAAACACCCCCCTGCACAGTGACTAATCCAGCAGTCAGTTACAAGTGGTGTGTGTGTGTGTGTGTGTGTTTTAACTGTGGGACCATTAGGACATGATGGATTCTCTTTGCCAGAGAGCTGCTGGTGCCCCTGGGAACACAGCTGAAATCATAGCTGCTCACAGAAGTGTTTTTTAAATCTCACAAGAAGTAGGACGGGCTCTATATTTTTTTCTCTATTGGAATGTCTCCCATTGTGGTTGCCTGTTGTGATATGAGGCTGCACATGTCCCAGAGGCTGTGTTTTGTGCCTGGGAACAAGCATGAGGGGATTAAGAGTGTCATTTGGAGCTCCACTGTCTCCGTAGGAAGAACAGACTGCCTGTGTGGTCAACTACTTATGAAGGGCTAGTCAGAATAAGGCAGTTAGTTTCAGAGCCACCCATGGGTTAGGGCCAACCCTACTGTTTGATTTTCAGCGAAGACGGAGTGAGGTAAATGTGGGAGCATTTACGATCAGCCAAGCAGGCCTCAACCCTGCAAGTGCATTTTAGGTGGCTTTCCAGGAGTGTTACCTACTTCACTGATTAATACTACTTTCATTTGGTAGTCCTGACCTAGCCCTGTCTTTATAATGAGAAGGAACTGTGTGACTTGGGCCAGCAAGTGGGTGGCACCAGCCTCTGTGCTTGGACCCATTTTCCTGGCATCTGCTACTCCTGGCACAGCAAACGCAGGCACCATGGCCATTTCTGGAAGGTGCAAGAGCTGAAATCAGGAAACTGCTCGTGAGCCACCTGCAGGAAGTGTGTCTCAGGATGCTGGCACCAGCCCAGGATGGGCAGGCATTAGCTGGTGCACCAGCCTTTTCCTGTGGCGGTGTGGCTTGGGCTTGGGTGGTCCTCAGATGGGCATGTTGGCCTCTTGTTGCAGACTTACAGCCAGCTGGCCCACCCAATCCAGCAGGCCAAGGCGCTGGGCCTCCAGTTCCACTCCCGTATCTTGGACATTGACAATGTCGACGTAAGTGCCTCTTCTGGGTGGGCTGGGTGGACCCTAGGGATGGGAAGGTATACTGATCAGCATGAGAAGTGAGCTGGAGGCGTTCCAGCACAGGTGGGCACTTTGATTAAGTGACTGAAGGGTCTCTTGCAGTGAAAGTTTTCCATAGTCCTGTGGTTGGAATATTCTTAGGCAAGTAGTGGGCGTCGGGGGTGCTGCTGCCCAGACATCAGGGTTTCCAGAGTCCCCCAAGGCGGTGGTATGCCTACACCTTCACTAGGAAGGCTAGGGACTTTGTCAGCACTTCTCAGGCTGCTGAAGGTCTGCTCTGCCACAATCACCCCAATTTCCTCCCTGTTCTGGGCTGAAGGCTTGCCAGTGCCAGCTTCCCTCTCCCCCCTGCTTATGTGCCAGGCACCCAACTTTGTGAGGTCCTTATGCCCCCACATGGCCTCAGTCTGGGGACCAAGGGGCTGCCAGGGTGTTGGGAGCCCACATGGGTTTTTAGCAGTTCATACTCTATCTCACAGTGGAGAGCTTGGACTTGTCCGTGGGAAGGGTCTCCTGGGAAATCCCTACCCAGAAACAGGCCAGCAGAAGGTGACAGCCTTGGAGTACTGATTGGAGTGTCTCCTCAGTGTCCCTCCAGGATGATGAGTTGAAGTGCCAGGGCCTTCTCCTGGCAGCATCCCAGGAATGGGGGTCTCCCCATCAAGGGGAGCAGCAGGGAGGCGGCAGGGAACCGTTCAGTGAGGCCCACCCACCCCGTTTGCTCCCCTTACAGCTGGCCATGGGCAAGATGATGGAGCAGGGGCCCGTGTTAATCGTCACCTTCCATGCCCAGCTAGTGATGGTGATCAAGAACCCCAAAGGCGAGGTGGTCGAGGGCGACCCGGTGAGTGAGGGAGGGGGCTAGACAGAGCAGGCAGCCATCCCAGGACCAGCTGGATGGCAGCGGCCAGCCACCTTGCACTGGTGGCAGTTCGGAGCCAGGAGTTTCTATGACTGGAAGAGGACAGCAGGGTGGCACCTTGAGAAGTCCCAGGGCCTGTATTGGTCCTGGTGGAGTTCAGAGGGCAACTGACCTGTCCCGTTTTACCAAGTCCTGAGTTTTAGACTCTGTCCCAGCCTCTGCTCTGAACCCCAGACCCACACCCACACCCCAGCACCCCTCCCTAGTCCTTCCCAGCGTTCCCCATGTCCTGACCTGGCAGCCTCATTCTGCTGTGCTGCTCTCTGCCCCCGGGCCCATACCCATTCCCACTCCTGCAGGACAAGGTGCTGCGCATGCTGTACGTGTGGGCACTGTGCCGGGACCAGGATGAGCTCAACCCCTACGCTGCCTGGAGGCTCCTGGACATCTCAGCTTCCAGCACAGAGCAGGTCCTCTGAGCTGCAGCTCAGAGGTTCCAGGCTGTATCATTGCAGGGCAGCTGCACAGGGTGGGAATGATGTCCACCTGTGGCAACAGACCTCTGGGGACAAGCCTGTTAGCTCTGGTCTACTCTCTGCCAGGGTGGCTGCAGAACCAGCTGGACAGGGAAGGGCCAGGGACTGTGGAGGGCTGCTTCCCACAGTGCCAGCCCCTGCACCCCCCTCTGCTGCTCAGGGGCTGCTGGCAGGGAAGGTTACCAAGACATACAGACCAGACAATGCCAAGAGACTCTGGCCCAAGGACTCCTGGGGATGGGGTGGTGGGGCCCACTGGCCACATTATCCAGGCCATTTTAGCTTCATTAAAAAAAATTAATAGTGCCCTTATTAACCTATATGACTGAGATTTGGAAGTGATAATAAAACACCAAAGTGCAGGAGAGCAACTTGGGTGGTCCAGGATGTCTGTCAATGTTCTGTCTGAGTGAGCCAGGTGGTCATGGGAGGCAGGCAAGGTCACTGAAGGAACTGGGGACCTAGAGGGGTGTCTTGTTTGGTTAGGAACCTGCACCTCTGTGGGGGAGGAGACCAGTGACGGGAAAAGCTAGAAAGGTTTTCCGTCACCTGGTTGGGGTCTTTGAGGGTTGGGGTCTTTAGGGCTGGGGGAGCTTGAGCACCCATGAGTGGTGCTGGGGAGCCATTGAGATCCCCCAAACGGGAGTCTGGGCGAAAGATTCATCGTGGAAAAGGGGGGTATAGGGGCTAAGATCTGGATGGAGCATCTGGGGTGCTTGTGGGGGTGAGGATCATACAGCTCAGCTGGGCCTGAGAGCTGTGATCCTGAGACCGGGGCGGGGTCGCTGCCGCGCGCCGCTCCCGGCGCAGCCTCCGCCCCCGTCGCTATGGAAACAGCCGAGGCGGCCAGGCTTGCTAGAGCCTCGCCCGCCTCGGTCTCTGCTGCTCCAGGGGCGGG